CCCCAAAACCCCAAAACCCCAAAACCCCGTATTAGTCTATTAGAATTGAATAAATAATGGAAAACAGATATAAAGCGATCGTCAACCAGAAGGAAGTAGAGACACATGAACTAAGAGAGTGTCTAGATCATGAAGTCTTAGTCAAAATCCTGAAAGTGCCAATAAACCCAATTGATCACTTTAAGATTAACGCTCCTCCAGAAGCACTACAGTCATTACCTCCATGCCCTGGTATTGGATTTGATGCAGTCGGAGTAATTGTCGACAGTGGGAAGAATGTAGACACTTCGTTAGAAAACAAGAGAGTTGCTGTGTATCAAACCTTCTTCGATCCTGGATATTCAGGAACTTGGAGACAATACCTCTACTGTAAGCCTGAAGAGGTCTACGTCCTTCCATCCGAAATCGATGACGAAAGTGAGTGCTACTTCATGGGAAATCCACTAGGTAAGAAAAATTCATAAATCCTTTAGCAACATATGGTCTTTACATTCAAAGTGAAAAGCATAACGCTAAGGCAATAATTCAGAATGCTGCTTGCTCATCAGTAGGGAAGATGCTGATTAGACTTTGAAAAAAGAACGGGATTCCTGTCATCAATATCGTCCGTTCAGAGTTCCAAGAAAAGTGTCTAAAAGAGTTAGGTGCTGATAATATTTTCAATTCTACTAGTGACACATTCATCGATGATATATCTGAGACTATTACAACCCTTGGAGCTAACGTATTCATAGAGTGTGTTGGTGACAAAAGTATTAAGCAGATCATGAATGTAATGCCACTAGGCTCAACAGTTCTCTTCTATGGCACTTTGCAGCCTGAAAGTCTGGATATTTCCTCTCCAGATATCCTCTTCACTATGAAGACTTTGACGTATTTTTCTACACCAGGGTGGCTCCAATCTTTGACCCTGGAAGAGAAACAGAGAATAACTGAAGACATAATGAAGGACTTTACTGAAGGAGCAAAAGTGTATGGCTGCAAGGTTGCCAAAAGTTACCCTCTAAGCGACCTAGAACTAGCCCTTGAAGAGTACCCAAAATATAGATCTGAAGGAAAACTAGTCATCTCCATGCAAGAAAAGGATTTAATTGATCTGAAAGCTTCAATATATTAATAAAGGTGGGGTTTTGGGGTTTTGGGGTTTTGGGGTTTTGGGGTTTTGGGG